TGATCTCATTGCATCCCCACTTGGCACACTAGTGAGGGGAGAATACTGAAGCTTCCCTAAGTTGACTTCAGTTGGGGGAGGTGAGGGAGAAGGGTCCCCTGAAGTCCCATAGGATCTCTGAGAAAAGAGCTTTCTGCTTTGATTTATCTCTGTTGGGATGGGGCTTCATTCAAGGCATCCAAACTGATTGTTACCAACTTAAAAATCTGTACCAATATTTCTCTTCCTCTCATCAAGCCCAGACCAACAATTTGCTCTGGTAGAAGTGAATGGTTTTTGCAGTGGAGCCCATGGTCCCACTACCAATCACTCCTGAGGTGCTCAAAAGGCCTTGGTAGACAAGGGGAAGGCCTGTGCTGGGCTCTTGAGCATGTCATTGCTGGGAGTGACGCTGCTGCTAATTCGTGCTATTATGAGGTTCTATTAAGAGTTGGTTACATGGAACGTCAGTCTCTGCAGTGTCCTGTGGAATTCAGTAATCACTGTTTAGATCCGGGTGCCTGTTGGCGATTCTCATAACTTACAACTTGCTCACTACCTGCAGAAATGCTCAAAGTAGCTTAAAGTCGTGTAACGTTGAGCAGAAGTTAAGACATGTCATTACTGCATTTATGGATTTTCTCCCCTAGGCAACCAGGTCCTCATATATACCCTGAAAATACGTAAAAGTTCATCAGGGTGTTAGCAGATGAAGTTAATGATTTTGGTGAATATTGGCTGCTTGCTCTCTCACCCAGGTCTGTAACACTTGGTGCCTCCCCCCGCCCAAGATAAAGAATGTTTTTTTCTTTTTTCTCATGATACAATTTTGTAGGTCTAGGGATTCCTCCCTCCCCATTTTCTCCTTGCCCTTCCCCCTTCTTTTTAACAAAGTGGATAATGCCTTTCTTGTCTTATGACTTCCTTGATTATAGTTTTATTGCTTCTGGGACTACCTGCTTTATGGCTCAGCTAAAAGACTTGTCAGTGGAAGGTTTGAAGTGCTATTGGGGGCCAGCATTTCTCTACCTTTGGAGAGCGATCCCTTCTCAGGGCACTCTTGTCTTTGGGGACTACATTAGCAAAATCCCTGGTCCTTCTCCCTTTTGCCTGCTCTCCGCGGTCCTGTCCTACTTACGGAGCTTGGTAACCTTGCCAGTGAGTCCATCCTCCCAGCTCAGAGTCGGGCAGGCTGGTGTTGTCCTTGTCCCCTTGCTGCTCCACACCCTTTGATTGCTGTGAAACCCCCAGCAAGCCTCATTCTTGTCTAGAATTTCCTTCTATCTAGAAAGGAAATACACCTAATCTTGAGTATCAAATATTACTGCCTAGTGGATATGTGCGTAGGTGCTCTCTAAGTGTGAGTGCCAGCCAGGCTGCTGGTACTTGACACAGAGCCCCCCCTGTGAGAAGGCTTGGGGGCAAGGAGGGGCTTGATCAGGTGCCAGAGGTCATGGAGGAGCCCTTGGACCATGAGATGAGAGGTACAGGGAGGCCTGTGTGTGTGTGTGTGTGTGTGTGTGCGCGTGTGTGCGCGCGCACACGCGCGCATTGCAAGGTTTCTGTGCTTTTAATTTCATTCCCAAACTTGACATGTAAAAGCCACTGACCTCACTATGTAAAGTAAGCTACTGTCTTTTAAAGCTTTGTACTCAACCACTGCCTTAAGAGGCTGTCACTGTTTCAGGAACAGCAGTCGGGACACCAAAGAACCACTCTCCTGTCCTCTCAGGGCCCATGTGGCTCAGAAAGCAGTGGCTCCAAATCAAAGAAATATGCAGAGATTTGTCAGTTCGGAAAGGCTGACTGGACTTGGGCTACCCAAGGGCTAGGTTTTCATGTTATTAAAGAGATCTTTTCCTTTGCTCCTTGGCTCTCGCTTGGGAATGTGGCTGGCAACAAGAGGTGCTCCCTGCAGACGTGGGCCCTGCTGGGTCCTGCAATTCCTCTGGAAGCTCTCCTGTAGAAGCCAGCAGGTTTTGGACAGCCTCTCAGATAATGTTCCACAAGAATGATGTCTGGGCTTGCTCCTGGAAGCATTCCAGCTCTGCTCCTGGAGGAGAACATTCTAGTTTCAGCATGTAAGGCACTTAGTTCGTTACCCTTAATCTTTCAGAATCCTTCCTTCTTCAAAACAATAAGAACATTGCAAATTTATGGTCCAGGAGTCAAATTTGGTATTGATGTGAGTGTATGTTTCCTTTGAATTGCAGACAGTGTTTGTCTTCTAATCTAACGTGTTTTTTTTATACCCTTTGCATAGCGAAGTTGAAAGAATTTTATAGTGAACCCTTGTATAGCTTAGTTTAATCATTAACATTTTACTATGCTTTCCTTATCTGCTCTTCTAATTATTCCTCTAACCAGTCATCAAGCCTTATTTTTTGATGAGTGTCCATGTCTATCTCAGAAGCAACCATTCTTCTACCATAAATCAGTTCCGTCAGCTCTAAAATTTTATACGAACAGAGTTGTGTGATTTTTTTGGGGGGGGGGGAGTAACATTTGTTTCACTCACTGTACTGTTTTATCCATGTTATTACGTGTGTCAGTAATCTGTTCTTTTAAATTGCTGTTTCATTTATCCACTTTCCTTGTGATGGACACGTGGCCTATTTCCAGACAACCCGGACAACCCTGTTATGAGCAGCTGCGAAGGGCAAACATGGACCACTGTTGTTTCATTTCTTTTCGTGTAAATACCTAGATTTCAGAATCAGTCTATAAGTACTTGTTTAGTTTTATAATGATTTACTAGAGCCTTTTTCAGTGCATTTGTGGCATTTACGCTGCCACCAACAGTATGAGAGTTCCCGAGGCTCCAAATGCTAGGCAGCATTTGATGCTATCAGTGGTAGTCACTGGTAGGTTTGCAGCGGCACCACATTGTGGTTTGGGTTTGCATTCCCCTAGTGATTGATGTTGGGTACTTTTTCATTATCTGGTGAGTCTATTCAAAGTCTACCTAGCATACTCCTATTTTTTAAAAAAATGCTTTTCTGTAGGAGTTCAGGTTTCTAGCTTTCCACAAAACATGCAAGTGTGTAACAAAACTGGCTCACAGTCCTGTGAGGGAATCCTCTGCAGACGCTTGACAGTGGCTGTGCCTTTGTACCTGCTCTTTAGTGTGTTACAATCTAACCTATCCATTATCCCCAGTTATGTTACCACACAGCATCTCATCCACAGTGTCAGTCTTTCCTTCCTTTTGTGAAAGAACTGAGCAGTTTCTTGAGTCTGAGTCATTATCAATACAGGGAAAATGACAGGTAGACCAACAGGGCTATGTATTTCCAAAAGAATTTTATAGTGAACCCTTGTATACCCATCTTCTTGACTTAACCATTAATACTTTACTAGACTTGCCTTGCAGCGTCTGTCCATATCCATTGGTCATTTTTTATGTGTTTTGAAATTTCTTTGTGGCAATGAGAAAATAATCCTGTAGTATTTCATATGTAAATTTAAAGAGGATATCTTGAAAGGTAACAACTCCTCTAAATGAAACTGCCTGATTTTCCTAAGTGTTATTATCTCCTGGCCCCTTTAACCTTTTGAGTTTGCGACTCCTGTAATACATTGCTAAACTAATACCTTTTGTCTCAAGGTTGCATTAATTGGGAGTTATTTAAATCCATAAATGGATCTAATTTCATATTTATTGAAGAGAAAAAATACCCCTATAATACTTCATGTGTTATAAAACATGGAGAGCAAAAAAATTTTGTGAATTCTATAATTTTTTTAATTCCAGGACTGTAAGTGGAAAATGTATATGGAGATGGATGGGGATGAAATTGCGATAACCTACATAAAAGATGTGACATTCAGCACTAACCTGCCTGATGCAGAGATTTTAAAGATGACAAAGGTAGGGATCTATTTACAACTTAAAAGCTTTTTTGAATTCACAGATATCATAGACATTAAAATACCCCAGCAGTGTGCTTTTGTGCTTGTCCATGCTCATATCAGCTCAGCCTCAAGCTGGCTGTTGAAAGGCACATTTTATTTAGCAGATTGAAATCATAATAGTTTTTTTTGTTAAAATTTCACTTGTGCTATGTGAACGAAAAAGCACTGCAGAAAAGGATATCGTTTTTCTTAAAGTTCTTGATGTTTACTCTGTCATTTAGTTAAAGGAAAGGCTCATGATAGCATTTCGTTCTAATTTGGAGTTGTTTTCTGCTTTGGAAAACTTCTGAGGATTACCCTGGTTTAGCTCAATTTCTTGAAGGGCTGAAACAATATAATTTATGGGGACTGTGTTGATGTCTTGATGACCTATGGGAATTCTTACCTAGGAATTCCTGGAGTGGCCAGAGAGCATGTTACTAGCACAGGGTCAATTGTAGATGCATGCTATTACAAATGCTGGAGATAGAGTTCCAGAAATTACTAGCTTGCTCCTCTACATGATTGGGAAATCAGTTCTGCCTCAAACTGGGAAAAAAAAAAAACACATCAGACTTCAATTTTAGAAAGTGAGCAACTTCAGGTGAGAAGTCTGGCTGTCAGCAGTGTCTCCTGTCACTGCCCAGAAGCTCATGACTCCGGTACATGGTCAACTCTAGGACGCTGTTTAGTTTGAGCAAAGGAAACCCAAGGGATAGATGTAAGGAAGTGAACGGACTTTTCAAATCTTTGGCATTAGAAATGTTTTCTCTGTAGGGACCTAGGATTGATAAACCAACTCTTTAGTTTATAAGTGGATTATCCAGTAGACTGCTTTGATATTCATTGTTAGGTTCCCCTAAGGAACTAGGAGTTACTTCAATTGCCTTATCTCTGAAGGCAATGATTTGGTTGTGAGTTTTGCTGGGATGTACAATGCTTTAATGTCTTGGAGATGAGAAAGTTATGTCCTCTTCTTTCCCCTCCTGCACCGGTCATTGCTTCTGTGCAGTTTAGGAGTAAACTCCAAGCCATCATCTACTAATAGAAGAGAAACTGCTCCTGGCAAAATGATGGCATTAAACTCATATGGGTGTTATAATGTCATATTTAGAAAACCACACACCAACATTAATGTAGTTTATTGGAGATAAAGGTGATTGGAGCAGATGGTTCCAAGTCCATAGGCTGTTTTCACACTAATTGAAATAACAAAGTAGCCCAGTGAAATCTTAGTTTCTCTTAGTGCAGCTCAGTCATTTTTTTGCTGCCTTAAACCTGTAATGAAAGAGGGGTGAGAGTAGAGTGCAGTTGAGTTCAACCACTGGAAACTTTTCACTGAAATTGAAATAGGGTCTAAGGCATGGGCCTAGTCACATGCTGTGCTCACAGTGAGAAACCACCATCTCCATTTCTTCATTTATACACCCAGATGAGAGCAGTGGAAAGCAAAGTGATTGGCAAGGCCAGTAACACAACCATTGGGCTATCTTAAATTGTGGCTCTCTCACTTTCTGCTAATACTTCCAATACTAGCTTGCATGTGTGAGAAGGCTTGGTGGTAGCATGTGTCAGAGACTAGGACTGTCTGTTTACCAAGATATGAAAGGCAGGCTTGGGGCTAGCCGTCATCATGTGTGAATTGCTGTGACTTTTGTGATAATCTGACTTGGTGTCCCCATTTGCTAGGTGAGGGTGGCATGACAGGCCTCAAACACATGCTGCAGCAAGGCAGGTTGTGTTACAATGCCCTTTTGTTTTTCAGCCTCCATTTGTAATGGAGAAGTGGATTGTAGGCATAGCAGCAAATCAGACTGTGGAGTGTACCGTCACCTATGAGGTAAGCTCTGGGAAGGAAGGCTGGAGCTTATGACTTAGTGGGAGTTGGGAGCAAAATTAACCAACATGCACATGGGAATAGCAATACGTTGGGAAGGAAAGAAAATAGTGTAAACTTACTTAGAAGTTGAGGCAGCATTCACTCATTGCTTGTTTTTACATGTTTACTTACTGACTTTTCTGTCTTTCAAATAAATCTTTCAATGAAGATTTCTTATACAGTGGGTCAGTGCCCAGGCTGAGCCATGGGCAAAGCCAGGAACCTAAAACTCAGTCCAGGCCTAGAAAACACACCATAAGGAATTGACCAACAAAGTAATTTGCAGTAAATGAGGTCATGGAGAATAATTTCCAGGGCCATGCCTCCCCAAGCTAGGTTAAGTGAGGAAGTTTAGTGATAAGAATCAAGATGACTAAACACGGAACACCATCCTCACTGCCACCTCGGAGAAGCGTTATTCCCAAGCAGAGATGACACAGCTATACATGATTGTGTTCCGGCTGGAACCTGGCCCGGCCCTGCCCATTGCAGGCAGAAGGGAGAACCAGCAGAAAGATCTCTGTCTGTACCTTTCAATTAAATACCTTTTTAAATTGTTAAGATGGTAGATTTAATGTTTTGTAATTTTCTAATGTGTCTTATAAAAGTTATGGTTAAAAAAATAATCAGCTTAAACAGCTATCAGTGAACATATTTACTACTGATCACTTCTAAGAATCCAAGGTCTCTCTTGGGGGATGCACACCTTGCAAGGTAGAGGAGCCTGTGAGGAGCAGGGTGCAAGATGCCTAGAACACAGCTGTGTGCCCCAACCCACAAGAAAACATGCCTTTCAATCATTCATTCATGCAAGAAATTTGTATTAGAAGGACTTACCATGGACTGGGCACCGTAAGAGGAGCTTCCACCTGATGTGAATACTCGCAGGTAGGAGTGAACCAAGTCCTGAGGTCAGAGAACTCAGTGACAGAATTGGAGTCTCAGCCCTGCTGGCAGACTAACACTTTCTGCTCTTCTACCCTGTTAGTGTCCCAGCATCTCTTAAATGTACTGGTGAGTGTATGAACGAAGTGCATGTTTTCCCGGTGGCAGATGCACACCAGTATCTTTCTGTGGACTGAGACACCATACCAGAGCATCTCAGGTCAGACTTCAGGAGCTGCTGCAGTGTGGTGATGTTCTTAGCTACCAGGGTCTAATTTTTTCCAAATTAGAATTCCTGGCCTGGAAGCCAACAACCCTAGATCACCTCCTGGTTGATCCTTGCTTGCCAGGTATGCTCCAGGGCGCGAAGTAACAGTTACTTGCAGGATGCATAAACCCAAGGGAGAGGAGGGGGTCCCTAAGGAACTTGGCATCTGGCCTGTCAGCCAGCCCTCTCGATTTAAGGGGAAACCCTTTTCTTAGTTGCAAAACAGAACAGCTAACCTCACCTCTGCCTGCCTTTGACAAACCTACAGACACACACACTCCATTCTTTTCCTAACTCTCTTTCCCCTCTGGCTCTGTGATGATCTTTAACCTCAGCCTGATTCAGGCGTATTTTTTCAGTAACCACATTAGCTGGTAGAATTTAAGAGACAGTCACCTGGTGACAAGGGAGCATTCAGGACAACATGGTATGATTTGATCTGTGGGTGTCCCTTTCTGTCTTGTTTCTATTACTATGCTTTATTAAAATTTTATTTGAAGGGCAGAGAGGCCTTTCACCATTGGGTTAGCTGCCCAAATGGCTTAATCGCTGGGGCTGTTTCAAATCGAAGCTGGGAACTTCCTCTAGATGTCCCAAGTGGGTGACAGGGGCCCAAGAACCTGGGCCATCCTCTGCTGCCTTCCCAGGTATATTAGCATGGAGCTGGGACTTGAACCACTGTCTGTATAGGATGGCAGCCATGACTTTTTATTGCCAAAGGGTTAGCCCTAGGTCCCTACTCCTTTTACTGCTGACCCTGAAACACCTTTGCATCTGTTTTCCACTATCCGTCACTGTGTGCAAGTCATTAATCCTATCCTCCCCACATGCATTCCTTTACCCTGATGATGGCTGGCAGCTAGAGTAGAAACATTATCAGATTTTCATTTGTTCAACAAAATATCTGCTTTCAGGGTAGGCATTTGCAACAGCAGCTAAGACACTGCCTAGCTCCCTGAGTTCTGTAGCAGAGTTCCTGGCTTCAGGACCCAGCTCCATACTAATGTGCATCCCAGGAGTCAGGAAGCAGTGGCTCAGGTGGTTGGATCTCTGCCACTCAAACAGGGGGACTTAGATTGAGTTCCTAGGCTAACCAAGCCTCAGCTGGTGCCAGGAGTGAACCTTCAGGTGGGAACTCTCTTTCTACCTTTCAAATAAATAAGTTTTTTTGGAGGAAAAGAAAAATATCCTTTGTCAAGTACTAATTAACAGAAGAGATTATTTTTCACATTTGTTATTAAACAAAAAGTTAACATTTGTCAAATGCAAGGACACTTTGGAAAGAAAGTTCATGGAAAAATGAAAGATGATTTTCTAACCTTTTTGAAATTCATGCAGTTTTTTATGATACTTACCTTCCATGAACTTGAAGAATTCTTGCATAATACTAAAGAAGGCAACCACCTTTCAACTACTATAATCTAAGCAACATGTTATAATCCATTAAGGAATAAAATGGTTAATGTTTTCCTTCTGATCCAATGAGTATATTTAGCAAAACATCTGGAATATTTTACCTAATGTGCCATGATCGTATTCCTGGGAGAGAAACTGAAGTGGCATCATGACCCAGGCTTCCTTCCATCTCAGGATTTTACATATGCGCTTTTGCTTATGGGTTCTTGTTTTTCTCCCAGAGTGATGTGAGAACGCCAAAAAGTACCAAGCATGTGCACTCCGTCCAGTGGAGCCAGGCGAAGCCCCAAGATGAGGTGAAAGCCGTCCAGCTGGCTATTCAGACTGTGCTCCCCAATCCAGAGGGCAACCCTGGGAGCAGGTCAGACTCAAGTAAGTCGGCGTGCACACACATCCAGCACCAAAGTCTCAGCGCCAGTCTGTGGACAGACCCAGGTTTCTAACAAACACCTCCTCCAGCGTTGGTTTTGTAAACAGATTCTGTGGAGAGTGGTGTTTAGGGACTTATAACAAATATTTGGATAACTGTGATATGACAATGATACTACATGAGTGAATAAAATATATAAGGTATAGATATAAGGTAAGTGTAGATAATCAGCCTACTATATCCTCTGCAGAGTCAACCCACTAATGATTAAAGATATTTCATCTGTACTGAGTATGTATAGACTTTTCTCTTGTCCTCATTTGCTAAACAATACCACCTCACAACTACTGCCACCTTTTACATTGCCTTGGGTATTTTAAGAGGCCTAAAAATGACTAAAATTATACTGGAAGATGTGTATAGATGACATTCAAAAACTATGCCATTTTATAAAACGGAGTTGAGCAGCTATGGATTTTGATCTCCACAGGGGTGCTGGATATACATTTATGTCCATGAGTTATCAATATGTGTTAAAGTATGAGCCTTTCTATGGAGTCATTGCTGTCACCAGAACCACTCTTGTGGCACATTGATGCATGAGACATAGAGGAAAGGTGGGCAGTAGGGAACAGGAGGTAGAATAGAGAAAGAGAAAATAGGAAACACATACTCTGAGTAGTGGTGACAGTGATTGTAACACGGAAGGAGGTCAGCTCAACTAGTCCTTAGTTGGTGGGTTCAGGGAAGAAACTCTAACGAAGGTACAGAAACATCAATAGAACTCAGGTACTACAGGATGATGATGAACAAACATTCACACTTTCCACAGAAACCCTGTGTAGGGGCAGGCTGCACTTCAGGGTTAGATGCCTGTGTCCAAATCCAGGCTTCCTGCTCAGGCAGACCCTGGGAGCCAGTGTTGGGGGCTCAAGTAATTGAGCAAGTGGGAGACCCAGATTAAACTCCCAGCTTGGCTGAGCCCTGACCACTGTAAGCATCTGGGGAGGGAACCAGTAGGTGGGAGACTTTCTTTGGGAGGAAAAGACAGAGCAAAGAACCACCATCCTCCCCACCCCCCTTGCAGCTCATTATTTGCCATGAGAAATATAGCTGCCAAAATAACCAGAATTGTATTTTCTGATCCCTGCCTCCCATCCCATAGAAATGAAATGTACTTGGGAAGTCATCCCAGAAGTTCTCTGGTGGTCATGGAAACCAAGCAATGGCTATAAATGGCTGACACTGAGCTGTTGTCACCAAATTAGGAAAGACAGGCTCTGTGTTCACTAGCCTGTCAAGCAGACCAGGCATTCTTAAATGTCTACCACCCAGGGGGCCCAGAAGCCTGGACAGGATGCCCAACATACCAAGCTTATATACCACATGGCTGATTTCCATAAAACCACTGGCATTGAACATTAGTTTTTAACTAGGCCTTTTTAGCCACAAGCACATTGTCCATCCTCCTTGGCAGATGCTGTTTCTGCAAACCACTGCCCCCTGCAGTAATTCGCTTTCACTAACTTTCTTCTATCTAAATTCTTCTGTGAATGTATCAGTCTGGCCTCACGCCTACTATCACGCTTATAAGTAAATGGACTATTATAGTAAGAGGTCCTTACCTATAACATTCCTGGAAAATCTGCAAGGGTCTTCTCTCTGCTTTTCTGCTATTGTTTTCTCTTAAAAGTTCTGAGGAGCAAGCAGTTAGTTAAACCTAGTACCTGGATTTGATACTCCTAACTCCTGCGCATGTGACCCTGGGAAGAGCAGTGATGGCTCAAGTGATTGGGATCCAGCCGCTGGCCACTGTGTGCATTTAGGGAGAGAACCAGCAGTGGGAGCTCTCTCCACCTCTTTCATATATAAAACTGCAAAGCTCTGGTTACCTACCTCCATGATTCAAAATGTCTGCCAACAGCATCCAAGTTTTGAGTCATCAAATAAACACTTGACCAAGTCCCCATTCCAGACTTCCTGTGATGAGACCTAAGGATGTTGAGGGTTAGGCTTATTTTTCCCCCCAAAAAAATTCTCTCCCAGAACAACAGACTAGATGAACAGCAAGAGGTGGTGAGGGAAGGCACTGGCTGAGAGATGGGAGGAGGCAGGGATGTCCCAGGCTGTGACCCTGTGCGTGGAGATAGAATGGTAACATTCTGAGAAAAGAACAGCCCACAAATGCCAGCTGCTTACCCACAAATCTTCTGAGAGCTAATGAGGGACTTTCTCAAAGAGCACAAGCAAGAAGAGTCAAAACCTTTTATCTCCTGGAGTTGCTCCAAGTAATCCCGCTTCCTCTGATTATCATGAGCGTGTGCAGCCTTGACCTACCCGGGCTTGGTCCAGCTTTAGCTGGTTGGCCCCTCTCCCTTCCTCCTTGTATCCCTTTTCCCAATACATTGTCAAGACGTGGAGGACACTGTCCTTATTGTTTAACATCTACCTTTCAGCTGCAAGTAACAGGAAACCAGTTGAGGAGCACAAGAGTGGGCGATCATGATGTCTGTGCAGAAGGGCCTGGACCCCTACACTGTACTGCCCCTAAAGGCAGCAATGCCCTAGCTGTGGAACCCATTGTAAGCTGGTGCCCCACCAGCTGACCTGCTGAGTCCCTGCACTAACTTAATCAAAATGTGCTGTAAGGATTATTCTTCCAATAAAAATTAGCCATTGTGTTGGTGCCCCCCCAAAAAAGAAAAAAAGTGTGGTCCCAGGCCCAACAGCATAAGATGAGCACCTGTGAATGTGGTAGAGAGGCAGATTCTCATGCCCAGCCATGACTTTCTGAGCCCAAACTTCTAAGGCAAGATCCTTAGAATCTACAATTTAAGAAACCCTCCAGGTGGCCCAGAAGTACTCTAAAGCCCTGAAGCCATTAAGCTACACTGTGATAAAATTTACCACAGTCCATAACAGTAAGCCCAGGGCTAGAGCAAGCTCCAGGTGCAGAGATAAGCCAGCTCAGACAGGTGAAGATCGAGGTATGAACCTCTTCCTCCCGTCTACTGTGCCACTCTCAGCCTGATGGCTTTGCTCATCTAGTACCTTGTGTTTTCCGTGATTCCATAAAGAAATGGCAATTCCCAGAGGAAAGGAAAGGAGCAGTCGGTTATCCCCTTTGGAAACAACCTGTCTCTCCCTAAAGATACTGCTGCCACACATGGCTCAGACTCCTCCCAGTCTCCTGCCAGAACCCATAGTGCAGCCAGCTTCCCATGCTCTGTGTGGCTGTGTTGCCAGGCAAGGGTACCAAATAAATTCGGGTGTAGGAGGCTAAAGTCTCAGAGAAGGCCAGGGGAAGGGAAGGGAAGGGGGCACCCTGACACTGGCTGATTCCCACTCCTATGGAGAAATGGACAGTAGTGAGGGGGTTACCATGGATGGGAGGAGGGAAACATTACCGCATGTGAGGGGCCCAGCACTGGGGTGTTGGCCATGCTGGAATCCCAGTGCTGCTTCTGGTCTCAGCTGTCCTGCTTCCCATCCAGCTCCCAGCTATTGCACCTGAGAAGACAGCAGAGGATAGTTCAAATATTTGGTGCTCTACAACCCATGTGAGAAACTGAGATGGAGTTCCAGGCTCCTGCATTCAGCTTGGCCCATCCCAACTATTGCAGGCATTTGGAAATTCAACCAGTAGATGAAA